AACTTTTGTAATAGATATTTCTAGTCATTTGAATAACCTTAGCTCAGGGGACTACAATGAGAAATGTCCACATTAAAGCACCGTGGCTCAGTCACCTTTGAATATCATTATCCTTGGTCCACTTTGACCTTAGGTTTCATTTCTTGTGTGTATGTTAATGAAAAATCCAAAAGTGTAACTGCTGACTTCAACACTACAAATGGAGGATCTCCCAGTTGCAATTCTGAACCCCTCAAAATATCAATTTCCATTTGTTACTCTCAAATGCTAGAGATAAATGAACTGAGAACAGAACTCAAAGTTTCTTATCTCTTTCAAATTCCAGGGCACCTGACTATGAACATAATCAGTTTCACAGCTTAAAAAGTGGGGTGGCTTGTGCTTTACCACCTGTGAATGAGGACTGGAGTGTTTGGAAAATAAGAATCTTTCATTGCAGAGGTAAAAATACACCTTTTCAGGAGTCTATTTGGTTCTTATTTTAATCATAGCTTATTTTAATAATATTTCTTATTTTAATAATAGCTTATATTGGTTCTTATTTTAATAATAGCTTATATTGAACCTAGAGTATTGTCAGTAGTGTCTTTTGGATTCTGCTGAGTAGTGGTATGTAGAAACTGTTCTTTCACCTGAACAAGAACTGAGCACTTTCAATTCCAATGTCTCCCTTGCCTAAATTAGACAAAATCCTGCCACACAGCAGCCTTTCCTTTGCTAACTGTATTGATGTAAGTACTTGATTATTAACAATTCAAGACTCTTTAAGCACCTAGAACTCTCCAGCAAGATGTATTTGCCCAGGCTAATAAGATGAGTGGAAGAACAGGTGGTGTCTACTTTCACACTGAGATATACGGGTCAGGGGTTTCGAATGTTGGAATGGAGTTTAAATAATCAGAATCTCACAGACAGCTGAAGAATAGACCTAGCGTCTACTTTTCCGCTTGGGTGAGAAAGATGTGCCAATTCTAGTTGGGAGATTGGTACGAAGTGCTCTGTAGAGATAGCGTGTGGAGCAGAGATAGAATAGGAGAAATAGAGTGACATCGTATACATCTTTGAAGATCCAGTGAAGACCATCTGTGATCCACGTTAATTCTTAGTTTTTCCTGTGTTTTATTGGTGTATAGTCAGATACGAATAACTCATTTGATCCTTGTTATGGTTTAGATGTGGTGTTCCCTGAAAGCGCACAGGTGAGACAATGCAAGAAGGTTTGGAGGAGAAATGATTAAGCTGTAGCCTTAATCAGTGAATTAGTCCCGGATGGGATTAACTAAATTGGTAGGGTGTGGCTGGAGGACATGGGAATTGAGGTGTGACTTTGGTGGATATATTTGTATCTGGGGAGTGGAGTCTCTCTGCATCTTGATCACCATGATGTGAGCTGCATCCTTCTGCCACATGCTTCACCATGATGTTCAGCCTCATCTTAAGCCCCGAAAAAAGGAGCCAGGCTTCTATAGACTAAGATCTCTGAAACCGTGAGCCCTCAGATAAACTCTTCCTCCTCTACCGTTGCTCTTGTCAGATCCTTTAGTCACAGCAGCAAAAAAGCTGAATAAAACAATCCTAATAGACAGGCACCAGCTTAGAATCAGAGCCGCCCAGGATGGTGGTGACTTGCTGCATATCACCCAATACTCAGGCCTTCCGGACTCCGCTGCTCCTGGTATTTTCCTATTTCCCCACAGAGATGGATGGGAGGGATTTGGCAGGTGTTTGGGACTGTCGTGCCAATCTTCTCCCTGCTGGAGATGTGGACTGTGTTAGCCTCCTCTGCTGTGGGTATGTGGCACTCTGCTTTGTCACCCGGGTGAGGGTTCTGGGTCCTTGGTCATTTAATGTTTCTCATGGGGTGGTCTATTTTTTTCTTCCTGCTCTAGCCTTGAAAGAAGTTAAGAAATAGAGAAAAGATATGTTTAGATATATGTTTTCGCTGAATGTAAAGGAGAAACTTAAGTATTGCGGGGAAGCGAATGCTCCTGCCGGGCACGGAGGTGTTGCCAGGAACCGTACAGCCACACTGCTAAGGTCCTGGGGGAAATGGGGACTAGAAATGCTGTAGGGTCACCAGCAAGGGAGGCCTCTGGTTCTGTGGATATATGTGACCCAAGGGTTCTTCCCTCCTGATACCTTCACAGGTTGGATTTTACCTGGTAACTGATGACTAAATAATTAGAAGCCACACCTAGACAGGAGTACAAGGAACTGAACTACCAAATGACCCCTGAGGTTTAGCTCTTTTATATTATTGGGTTATTCCAGCCCTTGCTTTAGGGCTTACCATATCACTGTGTCTCCAGATGAGAGCACTCCATTTGTGGCTTTTGGAACATGCACATAGATACAGGAATTATGAACAACATAAAGGTCTTTTCATTTGAGAATTGTGCTTGCTAGGTATTATGAGATATTTCATGCTCTGTTGATGAATATAACCAGAAATAGAGCATCATTATATGAAGACTAGTCCAATTCTGAGTTGGATCGTGAGTCTGAGTCCTCATGTTTTTCCAAGTTGAAATGATCACAGCCACATTGAAGCTTGTGTGTGTGTGTGTGTGTGTGTGTGTGTGTGTGTGTGTTTCAGTGCAGCTGGGAGGCTTCTCTGCCTCCTGGTGGAATAGAATGTATCTGCCCAACAAAGGAAATCAGTCATTTGTTGGTGAATGTTTAATCAAATTCTGCAAAGACCAATCGTTCATTTTCTCTTTTGTTATTTCCTATGTTAATTGAAGAATTTCTCAATATCCTTTGGAAATTATTTTTGTGAGGACAGGGCTGCTTTTTCTGAATGAGGACTATTTGAGTGTGATTCCAGAAACTGTTGTGATAACGTCTTCAATTTACTCGCCACTTGTCCCACACATACAAGTTAAAATATTGAGTTTTTCAGTCCTAAATTTTACTTGCTGGCTTCAGATTTCATGTTGAATTTGTTGCAGTATATATTTACATCTGTTACAATAAAACATTATTACTTTCTTACCTTATATGAAGATATAATCTAGGTGCTTGGAAAGATCAAGACAAGTCAGATGTAGTGGTTCACACGTATAATCCCAGCTGCTCAGGAGGCTGAGATAGGAGGATTGCGAGTTAAAGGCCAGCCTCAGCAAATTAGTGAGGCCCTAAGCAACTTAGTGAGACCCTGACTTGAAATAAAAAATAAGATGGGCTGGTGAGGTAGCAAAGGAGGGAACAGAATACTGTTCTGTCTTGGGATTCTTCTGAGAAGTAGTATGTAGAAGCTGTTCCTGGGAGAGAAAAACTAGCATTTTTCAATCAGGTGAAGGAATTCCAATGTCTCCCTTGCCTAATTTAGGTAATACCCTGCCACATACATAGTATTTTCTTTGCTAACTACATTGATTTAAGCACTTTATTATTAATGATTCAGACTCTTTAAGCCCTTAGAAATCTCCAGCGAGATATCCTTGCCCAGGCTAATAACAGGATGAATGGCAGAACAGGTGGTATCTACTTTGACACTGAGATATATGGAGCAGAGGGTTCGAATGTTGGAATGGAGCTGAAATAATCAGAATCTCATAGACAGCTGAAGAATGTACTTAGAATCTACTTTTCTGCTTGGCTGAGAAAGATGTGCCCCTTCTCGTTGATACCAAGTGCTCTGTAGGGATAGCATTTGGAGCAGGGATAGAATAGGAGAAATAGAGCGACAGAAGTAATATTGGAAGAGGGAAGGTAAGAATGAACCAGAATCATAAAAGATGTCAAGGTGCAAAATTAAGAAATTTCTAGACATCTCAAGCAACAAAAACGAAAACAAACTCACATCTAAGCACTGTATACTGAAGGAAGATAATATCAAGAAAAAGGTGATGACTTTAAATTCAGCTAAAGGTTCAGGAAATCAGCATGATGTTGTTGCTCCTGCCTAATACAGGAAATTACAAAATCTCCATCAGTGGCCACAGCAAACCTGAAACACTGTGACATGGACTGATAAGGAAAAAAAATGGTTGCAGAAAACCTCATGGCTGCTGAAATTTGTATATATTTCTTCCATGACAAGGAAAAAAATATGTTTATATTATTTTGTATATATGTGGTCTTTTCCTTCTCTTTTTTCTGTCAAATGTTATTATTGTTCATAGGATTACATAATATAAATTGCATCAAGATTCTATCCCCTTTAATGCATGGTAGAATATGGAATGAGGAGGGCCTAACTGGTTTCAAGGGGGAAAAAAATCCAATATACATATTTAAAATACTTTTGTTATATAGTTGGTATTAACCTCTAGATCTATTTCATTCCATCTACCAATGGGTTAAATTATATTTCTTTTTACCAGAAAGAAGGAAACTTAGGATGCAGCAGGATTTTAGGGAGGAAGTGTCTTTCCCTGGAGATGGCTCTTCATCATAAACCCTGACGGAGTGAGTATGTGTAGAAGAAAAATCTATACGCTAGAGTTCAAGACAGCCCTTATTTCATGTCTTCATAAAAACGCCAACTCTTCTTAGAGATTTATAGTCCTTTTTAGAATGTCTGCCCAACCTTTGCATCTCAGAGAGAGTACACACTCACTAAATACAAGATTATTTACGCTTGTTAAATGTTGGTTTTGTATGTTCATGGCGATGATGTTGCAGATAATTCCATTTCCTCTGTGGGAAAAAGTGGCCTCACAGATAATTCCAGAAACAGGAACAAATGACCCTGAAAAAACGATGTTATCTCTCTTCCTTTCTCAGTTATAACGTGGTAAGAAATGTCATCTCATCTTTCTTAGATAGTCTTCACTTTTTAAAATTTTCCTTTTTTCATTCCTTCATGTAGGACAAATATTTATTCTCATATTTTAAAAATATTTTAAATTTAATCACCAATATGTCAAGATGAAACAAATGCCTTTTCGGTTGGGGTACCTCCAACCAGGGAGAATTTCTCTTGGAGGTGTCTGTTTAAAGTGCCTCATAAAGTTACTCCCTGCAGTAATCTTATTGTATCCAGAGACCACAAGTAGGCTAACTGGAGCATTTAATATGAGTTATTAACAACATAAAAGAGAATTTATAAGACATAAGGAAATCCTTTATGGCATCTTAGGGCTGAATTTGTCCTTTCTTGAGGATCCTGTGCACAGAATGGGTTCAGACTTTACTGGAGAGAGTGTGGTTTAAATACCTGATAGAAGAAAAGGTTGTTGGCTTAGTTGGGGTGTAACTGGTCTGCAGTTGCTGGACAAGTAATTCACAGTCCTCCAGAATATAGATGGGAGCAGGTACTCAGTGCTCTAGGTGTACAGTGAGTCTTTGGTGTAGGTGGGGTAGAAGGTCTTCAGGGCACATGAAGCTTGAAGGAAGAACGACCCTGCAGACATGTGAGGCTGTGTGCAGGTTGTCAGGATTGCCAACGGAATTAGCAGGCAACTGGCCAGACTGAGGGGGCACAGTTGCAATGATCCATGTTGTGGGCCTGTGGTTCCTGCCGGAAATTGCAGGATACCTCTCATTCCTGCATGCACCCTCTACTAGAAAACCATATCCTGTTCCCTCTATTGATTTATTTACACTGCTAGAGATTGAGCCCATGGGTGCTTTACCACTGTGCTACATCCCCAGCCCTTTATTTTGAGATAGGGTCTCTGTAAGTTGTCCAGGCCAGCCTCAAACTTGCAATCCTTCTACTTCAGCCTCCCGAGATGCTGGGATTACGGGTGTGTGTCCCCATGCCTGATTATCCTGTTCACTTTAAGGGAGAAATGTGTAATTATGTTGTTTTCCAAGAGGTGCTCTGAGGGCTGAGAAACAATGAGTTGTGACTGACACTTTCAAAGCAGCCACTTGGAGCATGGAAATGAAAAGGCACCTGCGTAAGATGCCAGAGGGATTCTCCAAATGTGGCACTTTCCCTGCACTACTGTCCAAAATGCTCCAAATAGACTAATACTTTCAGGTTTACCTAGTTTTGGAAGTGGGAGGAATGATTTTTAGTCCAAACAAGTGTTACTTCTTTCACAACATGAATGGAAGACAGGTGGAGTGTTAACCTTTGGAAAAAAGATAAACTGAAATTATTTTAGGAAACTCATTTTCTATTTCTTTTACCTTCATCTCATATTTTATAGACATAAAAAAATAATATTTACCTCTTGGAACTCTTGGAGCACTGGATGAGATAATGCATCTAAAAAGTAACCAAATAATAAGTAGGTCCTACAAAGTTCTGGGTTATTTCATTTTTACTCTGGAATTGACATGCTGTTAATTCAATGGTCTTGTTCTAGAATCATCGTGGAAGAGTGTGAAACAGAGAATTGGAGAATGTGTTTGTAAAAGTAATATGGAGCCATGCAAATTTCTTTAATGTAGCGCTGCAGTCATGCTGGGGAGCACAGGTGTACAGTGTACTCACAACTCTCCCAGGCATGAGTGAGATGCAAAGGAGCAGACACCATCCCTTTCTCTGATGTCACAAATCCAACTGGCATGTTCTTCAGAGCTGTGAAAATACAACAGAAGAATACATGTTCCCTTCCCTGGGAGTGGTAAGAGGCTGAGAATCTGGGCTTTTTGTTGGAAAGACAGGTAAAAGACAAAGTCAAGGGAACATTCGGTTATTTTGCAAAATGGGAGAGAAAAAAAATTAAAAAGTTGGGAGAGAATACTTAGGAAAGTGGGGAGGAAAATAACAGAATCTGGCATGTGACTGCTTTTTTTCCAAGTTATTTGCTGCATTCTAAAGCTCTGCAAGGAAAGAGGATAAAATTCCAAGTAAAAAGCATCTAAAAAGCAAAAATTTTGGCAGTCTAGTCAGATGAAGAATATAAACAGATTCAAAGACCTGCCTGGGAAACAAGTCTTAGAAGACACGCAAGGTTTCAGATAAAATCCCAGGGAACTAAGAATGAGGCTTTTAAGTAAAACCTTACCAAATATGCAAACTATCTTCAAGTCCTTGTAGGATTACAGGGAAGATATCCCACAGAATCTAGCAAGAGAAGCCTGAACCTTCTCCAGAAGGAAACAGAATCATACTAAATCTGTCTCTGCTAATGATCCATCTATCTGTATACAATCAGATATACAGAAAGATTGTTAACTTGATTATTGCATTCTAAGGTACTTTTATTGAATCTTCACACTAAAATTAATAATATATCCATGTCTTTATGACATAAACTTGCACGTTTAGTTGCTAGAACAAACACCAAAATAATATTAATGGAACATATATGTACTAAGCAAATAGAAAGGAAATGTCTAAAATATTTTCAGTGATCAATTCATGAAAAAGGAGGAAAAGGGAGTTCTATAATGGAACAGCTAGAAATTAAATAAGGTAGCAGGAATAAAATCAAATATATATCATATATGCTGTGTATATGCTAGAATTTGCTTTTCCTAGAATCTTGTGAGAGTGAAATCACATGACATTCGTCCTTTTGACAAGAGACTAACCTATTTCACTGACCATATGTCTGAAGTTCCCCCTGTCTTGCAACATACATAGTCCTTTATTTCTTTCTAAGGGTATGGAATATTCCATTGTGTGTATGTCTCATGTTTTTCTTATACATTATTCTATCCACAAACACTTTAGTTGTTTCTGCTTTTTGGCAATTTAGAAAAATGCCATTATAAACAGCAGCGTGCAAATATCTGTTTGAGTTCTGTTCTCAATCCTTTGGGAGGGTTTATCTAGGAGTGGCATTACGAGATCATATGGTAATTCTGTGTTTTATTTATTTATTTATTTTCTGAGGACCACCGTGCTGTTTCCCACAGTAGCCACACCATTTAACATTCCCACTAGCAAGGTGCAATGTTCCAATTTCTCCCCATCCTCACCCACACGTGTTATTTTCCATGTAGTTTTTATTTATTTATTTTTAGAATGGCAATCCTCCTGGGTGTAGAATAGTATCTCCCTGTGGGTTTGATTTGCATTTCCTAATGATCAGGGAAATCAAACATCTTTATGTGTGTTTGGTTCTTTTCAAGTCCTTTTCCTATTTCGCCATCTCATTGCTTGCTTTTTCTTATTGTTGAGTTGTAGGAGTTCCTTATGTGTTGTGACTATTAATCCCTTACAGATACATTATTTGCAAATATTTTCTCTCCTTCCCTAAATGGCTCTTTTCCTTTGTTGGTAATGTCCTTTAAGACATATGTAGCCTCTGTCAAGGACCCCATTGGCTGCATTGCACCATGACAGAGGATCAGAAAGGGGAACCAGCAGTATGCAGAGGGAAAAGACATGGTGGGTCAGGAAGCCAGAGGCCAGTGAGGGTCCAGTCTTTCTCTTTTTATAGCAACTCATTCTCAGAAGAGCTGGCTCCTTCTGTAGGATAAGATCAGCACTAATTCCTTCTGAGGCCAAAGCCCCCAGAGACCTAATCACCAACCACTAAGCCCTATGTCTTAAAGATTCCACCATCTCTTAATACCACCACATTGGGACCAAGTCTCAGGCACATAAACTCTTGGGGGACAAACCATATCCAAACCCCTGCCTCCACATATGTGAGCATTTATTGCTGCGTGGCCTCTACTCTATTCTATTCTATTCTATTCCATTCTATGTCAGTCTTTATGTCAGCACCACACTGTTTGGATTACCATAGCTTTGGAGTATGCTTTCAAATCAGGATGAAAAGGATCATAAAAGGATAGCCTGGTGGAACCAAAGAAATGATTGACATCCCCAGGCATAGAATCATCAGCCCAATCAGGATCTGAGCCACCTCAGAAGGAAGAAACATTCTATGAGAAGGTGAAGTTTCTCAGCAGGTAGAATTTCTTCAGGATCATTGCCCACTAACCTCCTTCCCACCTCTTAGATTCCAGTATTGGCACATCTCCAGGGCCATACCCATCTACACATTGAGCATTTTCCTTTGCCCAGTACACAACCTTCTCACTTGTTTTGTTTGCTCATATGGTGCTACAGGAAGCAATCTTGTCCTTGAGGCCTGTACTCTGGAAACATTGTGTTTATACTCACCCCCAGGACATGGGGCTGCCCCTACCAGAGAGCAGTAGACTCTTTTACTGCTGGGAGGGCAAGGCTCAAGGTCCTAACTGGCTGGATGAAGGATGCTCTTAACCCTGGGGAGGATTATGGCTGGTACTTTGGCTGTATCTTCCTCTAATGTCCAGGCATTGCTGTTAGCACCAGCAAACAGAATGTTGCTCAGTATGGGTTGCTTTCCAACACCTTCGTTGATCCATATCAAAGACCAGAAACAGGGCATTTTGTCTTTCTGGGGAATGAATGACATTTGATTCCCACCTCTGGATTAGGGAATAGCATGGACGTTTTCTAAACCTCATTCCCATACCCACCAAAGGGTCAGCTCAGATCAACTAATAGCTGCCTAATCCTCAGCTCTAAGGCAGAGGGTCTCCATTTATAAACCTGAAACCTGGATGCTTCACCAGCAGCAAACTTCAGACCAGATTTTCCCACATCACAGTTTCCTGTGGATCATTGATAGGGGCCCCCTAAGCCCAGGTAGTCACACCCCTCACATTAAGTTATTTTCTGAGATCAAGCACGGGGCTAACAGAAGGCATGGGCTTGGCCTACCTTTCCATCTCCTCAGAGAGCACCAATGAGAGCTGTTATCCTCCATGGTGCGTGGACCCTCATTCACAGTCTCCAGGAGGGGCCTGTTCTGTGGTGTGCTGTGTGAGGAGAGCCCCACGCGGCCACACACTTCCTGTGGTTTGTCCCACCACCCACACAGATGAGCATCTGTCGTTCCTGGTTTGCGTGAGTCCCTCGGATGGCAATCTCACTGCACCCCTCCCATGCTCAAGGCCATACTAAAGGAGAGTCTGCACTTACCCAGGGCCTTAGCCATGGGTGTGCTCCTCCTGAACCTCACCTTCTTCAGCCCAGTGACTCCAGCTGGAGGTGATGTTACCTGATGCAAACTATAATACTCACAGATTAAGGCTTTGCTTAAAGTCCTGCTTAGACTGGTACAATTTTATGCTGTTGATGTGATCAACAGGTTGATTATATTATAAAACTTTTTATCTAAATAATGCATATTCCCCATTACAGTTTCTTGTCACAGATGAAACTTTCATTTTTTCAGCTTTGCTTCCTCCTCCTGATTATCATAGTGATCTTGGTCAAAAGTTCCCAGAAATATCTACGCCACTGCCTAAATGCTGTGCTGACTTGAAATTTCCTCCGCCAGATTAAGTAGTCCATCACCCTTAATTCAGCTTCACAGAGAGTCTCAGGACATGGGCAAAATACAGACAACTTCTTTGCCAGAACCTAACATAAATGGCCTCTAGTCCAGTTTTCAATAGAGCCTTCCCTTCATCTCCTCTCAAGCCTCTCGTGCATAGTCTTTACTATCCACTGTTCTATCAGCATTCCAGGCTTTTGAGCTCTCACCAAAGATGCTCATTAAACTCTGCTTACAATATTTTAAAGTTTATCCAGCTTGCATATTTAAACTTTTTTTTCTCCAAATTCCTCCTCCACCAACCCAGTTGTAAAGGATGGTCAGGTTTCCCACAGCAATGAGCCCACTCCTGACCCATATGAAACCCACACTAATATCTGTTTTACTCAGATTTTTCATCATTGGGATCAAAAGACCTGACAAGGACAATTAGAAGAAATAAAACATTTTTGTGTCATGGTTTCAGAGGTCTTGGTCCATGTTCAAGTGACTCCTCAGCCCTGGGCCTGAGGTGAGGAAGAATTTGAAGTTAGAAGAGCACAGCAGAGGAAAGCAGCTCAGGACATGGCACTGGGAAGTAGCTGCCCAACTCTGTTCAAGGAGATGCTCAAGCTAAGCACTGAAAGGAAGTGAGATCACTGGAAAAGGAGGACTTTTAGTTAACTGGCACTGGGGGATGTAATGGAGGAATATGGAACTAGAGGGAATAGGAAGGAAGAAGAATCAGACAGTAATTAAGGACTAGGAATACTCTTAATTTTGAGTAGTGTAGTTTGACCATCATTGACTTTCAGCAGCATTTGTGCAAACATGGCATGACCACTTATCTGCAGAGTGCTTACTGTGGA